AACAAGAAAAGAACTGGAAAACATGAAAGAATATAAAGTACTAAATCGCTTATTGTTACTGTATTGATACGATCTTTTGTTCTTTTCTTTTCTGTTTAGGATATTCAAGAGCATCAGAACAACGAATTGAAACGTTTACAAGATGAAATAACTCGCCTTCGTAGTGAACATGTACGAGAAATAGCTCGTATGAAAGGAACATTTCAGAATGAAATACAGAAACAACGGACAGAAGAAGATGCTAAAGTGGAAGAAATTCGACGAGCCGCTGAACATGTGAGAAAACTATTCAATACCTTGTTAATTTATTAATTGTATCCTTTATAGGAAGCTGATCAATTTCTGTATGATCGAACGTTGAGTATTCAAGATGAAAATGTTGATTTGAGGCGAGAATTACAATCATTAATTAAACGAGCTGATGCATTACAAGAATCAAAAACACGTTTGGAGGAAGAACAAATGCATTTAATTCGAAATTTAAAAATTGCTGCTGATTTAAAACGAATTCGATTAAACAAAACAAAATATCCAAATGAAAATTCAAGTAGATCCAATATGAGTGAGACATAGTGAGAACAACTGACAATTCTAAACTATTATACTATACGAATGAAGATGAATGTAGAAAGTGATTTGGTTCTATGAGTTTTTATTTTGTAATTACGGTCAATAATTGAACAGTCTTTGAGAGTAACAGTTTTAGAAAAAAATATTCGACTGAATTGTAATTCATAGTGTAAAGTAGCAATATATGAATAAGTTTATTATCTACTAGTAAATGATACTTCACGATTTTATGAAGTTTTGTGATATTTGGCGTTTTCAAAGGTAATCATAACAAATAATATTTATGGAAACTTTCTTCGCAACTCTCCGAAGATGGATCAAGCTAAGTTTAAAGATCTTGTTAAAGATCGAGAAGCTAATTAATTAAGAGAAAAATATAGATTTTTTTTAGTAATCTAAAAGTAATCAAATTTTGTTTATTTCTGTCATATGTGCCATTTGTCATTCATATCAGCTGGGACTAAATCAGTTGGTTTTGAATCGATTTGATCAACTGGAATCAGTTGTGTAAGTAAGTCTGATGCACACCGGCATATTTCTATAGAGACTCCATCATGGATTTTATTCGTTGTTCTGATGCTCTTGAATATCCTAAACAGAAAAGAAAAGAACAAAAGATCGTATCAATACAGTAACAATAAGCGATTTAGTACTTTATATTCTTTCATGTTTTCCAGTTCTTTTCTTGTT